ACAAATAATTGCAAATCACAAATTTGATTTTTTATAGAGCATTTAAATTTTATTAATTAGTGTAAAAAAACCTTCTCGAAGCTATAAATTGAATTTTACTTAGAGCTTTTGCAAAAATCTAATATAGAACCTATGAGATAGTTCTAAAGAATATACTCCTCATGAATTTTTAGAAATTCACATTTTTTTTATAATTAAACAATATAAAAGTAATTTTCAATTTTCACTTCTGATTTCGCTAATCAGTAATAAAAATTTGATCATAGTAAATTGATCAATATAGCTAACATAGTTTTGATTCTTAATTTATGTTGCACCCTAATATATTCAGGGTAGAAGTTTAATTTGATCGTACAATTTACAAAACATTCAGATATATATTAACTGATATATTGAATAATTTGAATAGTACTTTTTTTGTATTATGTTATAATCATAGGAAGACATTTACATGATTGGTTAATTTTGTAGATCTACCCGTGATTTCCGATATAATTTTAATACTATGATTTTTGCATAGTGAATATAGACGTTCTATCGAAGCAAAAAATGGCTTTTGCGGTATTTTTTTATTAATTAAATGTTGTGTTCCCACAAAGTACTTTAAAGTATATAAATAAGTTACCCATTGTGAAGGGCCCCTGTAATCCAAACTTGCAAAATCTTATTTTTTTATATTAGTATTTCTTTTTTTATTATACATAAATATAAATATTTTTTAGTTTACTCAACTTAAAAGCAGAATCTTCTTATGATCTTTTTGGGGACTTGTACGATAAGTCCATTTAATGTGACTTATCCTCTTAGGAGGATTTAGTTGCTTAATCAGCTTTGGTAGATTTATTCCCTTTGTTCTCTTTAGTGAATATAGTTCGCCCTATACACTTTCTTCACTATATTCAATTTACTTGTATAAAAGCGAAGTCTTTTCGCATTTAAATAAAGATAACTCAGTTGAGTTAAACACTTCAAAAATATAACAGTTATTCTAAGTATTGATACTTATCTTTTCGCTCTTAATAAAACATTTGATTATTCTATACTCTACTCCTGTTATCTTCCTTAACAGTCATATTAAATCGTAAACCCCAAAGTTGAGTCTTGGCCTTCGAAATCTGAGTAGAAGTGTTGACTCTAAGTCCCTTAATAGTAGAATAACCCTTATATGTAAATCATCATTAGAACCTTCTTGTTTCCTAGATTTCATCCTAACCTTACTTTCGATTTCTTACTGAGAATAAGAAAGAGAAAGAATCGATTAGTGATCCAAAATCCCTTTTATAACAAAACAATACTTGATTAAACCCTTGATCAATGTCATTGTTGTTACCTCTAATTGAAAATTTATCGCTATAATTTAATCTTGTGACTCACGTGACAATCGTTTAGAATCTTAACGATCGAATCGAAGGCTAGAACCCTGGTATACTCAAATTAAAAGAGAAGAATTACTTTTAGCTCCTTACTGAAGCCTATAAATAACCTGTAGAAGTATAATTTCAAGTTATACTTATCCTGAACCACAGCATTGCCACAGCAAGACTCAAAAAGACCTTGAGACTCGAACCAAGTCTCTCCACGCCTCTTTCTGCCTGCCTATTCAAGGTTTTGAGAGTCTTTGAATTGTAGTTTAGTTGTTTAGTTATTGGAGGTTAGTTAGTTTTAGCATTTGGCCAATTAGTCACCACTTCTTCACCAGGCAATTGATTTACATCAGCCAATCAGACGAATGTCCTTCTATGAATATATATACTAAATGAATAGTTTAAGATCATAATCATTTATTTAATGTATATAGTTACACATTCTAATAAGTAAATGTCAATATATACATTGTGAAGGGGTAATGTGAATTAATTGCAGCAAAAAAAAACATGATCTAAGCCATAAGACTCGGATCTTAATGCGCATTGATTGAAAAATAGAAGGCATTTAATAAATTCTAATTTGCTCTATTAAATAACAATAGTAAGGTGGGAACTAAAGTTATAGTCATGTAAATGAGTATAAATTACTCATCATTAGTTATAGATTCACCTTCTAATACTCTAAATAGTCATATTGCTTAAAGATTCTAATCATAGTAGCAAAGCCCCAAGGCTCTCTGTAATGCTATAAATAACTATCAATTTCATTTATCTAAAAACAAGTGAAGTCTATAATAATAATGACCATTATCTAATGATAAACTCCGGGATCTTAGTGGCAGTAGGATTCTTGGTTCTTGGACCAAATCTTCTACGCCTTCTTTCAATAGCCTTTGATTTTTGTTGTATCTTAGGTTGCGAGTACTAGTTACACCAAATCTGCCCTTTTACAACATATAGCAGACCTAGGTTCTCTTGAACTGGCTGGACCTAAGTTAACTAAAGTTCTAAAACTGGTTTTATAAGAACTTGGTCTATAAGTTCATGCAGTAAAACCTACAGGTTATGAGATCAGAACTGAACCAAGACTGGACTTTACTATCCCTACTGCTAAGTAATCTTTGTTCAAAGTTTAGATATCTTAAAAAGAAGCTGGGCCAAATTTTTTTTCATAGTTGGTTTTGAGAAATCTTTGTTTAAAATTTAAAGTATTTGTTGTACACTCTATACAGTATATAGAAATATATTTATAATCACAATAATCGGCACTTAATTGCTACTTAATTACTATTATTTGCTACTTAATTATTACTTTATTGCTAATTAATTGTCACTTAATTGCTACTTAATTGTCATTAAATTGCTACTTAATTGCTACTTAATTGCTACTTAATTGCTACTTAATTGTCACTTAATTATTATTTAATAGCTACTTAATAACTATATAATTAATTCTGTATTTACTTAAAACTCATATACAAATCTGCCAACAAATTATTACAAAGCTAAAACAATATATATTTAATGTTATAACTAAAATCGTCATAATATCATAACAATTTAAGTAATATTATTATGAAGATATAGTTACAATCTTTTGTCAAAATTGTAACAATAGTATTTTAATATTGTTACAATTTTAAATCTAAATTTTTACAACTTTTTTGCAAGATATTGTAATAATACAGTTACGATTATTATACAATTTATTTGTGATTTAGATATGATATTGAAATAAGATAGTAACTATATATTAAGAAAGTTAGTCGTGACAAAATTGTAACAATCAAGTAACTAATTAGTAACAATTTCTTAATGATTTTGTTACAAAATGCTAGGTTTCAGCAAAGTTGTCAACAAGCATGAAGACACTATCATCCGTTGATGCCCCCTACAATGGTGAAAATGTTTGGAAAGTCATGGTTTTTATTATATTCCATTATCATGTTATAGCATCAATTATCTCTTCATGGATTGATCGATGTTAATGATGCCTGACAAATGACGAAACCTTTCGTCATGACAAATGACAAAACCATTTCGTCAAGCGGCTTTGAAAATCAGTGATGTACATGGACATGGACATGTCTATGGACTGTCTATGGACATTCTATGTCCATGGACAAGTAAAGAATATATTTGGAACAAGCTAAATTTAGTAATGGCTTATATTATTTCTTGACGTATTATTTCTAAGCAAAAAGGTTGAGAATTCTAGATTTTTCAATTTATTGAGATTGATAATGCATTATTTCTATAGAGTTTGATCTTTTTAAATTTCTTGTACTGTACGTACAGTATGTAGTACTTCATGTCATCTAAATTGGAAATCTAGTTTGTAATCGTAGTGAAATACTTGACATATGTTAAATTTATTGAGTTAAACAGTATGACTAATTTGTAAAATGCCAAATCGTACACATCCCAACTTACCAAATATTGAGAAAATACACGAAGCAAAAAGTATGCCAAGATGGAAATCGGTTCCCAGGTGAAAATTGGTGTCAACATTATGTCATACGTGGTAACTATTGAAGAGTACCTGAATTAAAAGGAAGAATTAAAGTCGCTAAAAAAATATCGCTTTTAGGTTAGTTCGAAGGTCTCGTGATTACATGGTTTGATCACGATCGTCAGGTAATAAATTAATCGAATCAAGAAATATATCAGTTATGCAAGTGTGGTAATGATAGTTGTGCATAAAAAATATGTAGAGTTAAAGTTAGTTATCGTATGAGTAGATTAGTAATGATAAATGATGTAATTGATGAAAATAAAATATATAAGGAGAAAAATAAAGAAAATTAGTTATCTCTCTTGCGCTTAAAATAAGTACTAGCCATCGAAACCCTTAACTTCATATCGAGACGTTATACTTGACTTTATTCTTGACTTTATTCTGATGCTTATCAAGGCCACGACAATTACGAAGAATAATTGTGCTTAACAGATTTAAATAAAATAAATTCCACTTGAAAGAAATTAAATATTATACGTATACTGTATTATTCATAAAAATTCTATTTATTTACTGAATATATTTAAAATTAAAGCGTTCTGGATGTAAAAGTGCGGATTCTAATATCCTCCTTATGAACGAATATTTTTTTAAGTCCTACAGTGAATAACATATAACATTTACTATGTAATAATGTTTTTTAAAAAAAAAAGTCAAGTTCAAAAATACTAAGTACAAACACATAACAACAGCGTTCATTATGATCTATTTACTAATTATAGGTTATGGCCTTACGATCTGTTATATGTAATATTTACTATTACATTATGACCATTTTGGTCAGATAAAGATATGACCTAAAACAACCAACACTGCCAACAAGCTATTTTATGAAACATAATTTGTCAGGTTTACAAATTTTAAAAAATGTCTTTTAGTTCTAATTTTTTAAACAGAGTAGCCAACTCCCATTTCGTGTTAGTGTTAATCGCAGGATGGGTAAGAGAAAGTTCATCTTCATCCATATATTCCTCTTCTATATCCTCCTCTTCGAAATGCTTTCTTTCTTCTTCTAACATATCTGCCCACACTTGCAAATAATTATCAAAATCTTCATTGTCATTTGCATCTTCACTATCCGATTCTTCATCTGATAATTCAAACATTTCTCTATTTTCTAAAGATTCATAGATTTCCACATCTTCAGAATTTAAATTATTTGTACTATCCTGATTAAGTATTTCAATATTAGTGCCAGTTGGTTCTGCATTTATATTTATATTAGAGACATCTTTATTATCGTTATATGCTAAATCAGATCGAATCCGGTGACTATACGTAATATCGGCACGTAACTTGCTCATTAGTAAAACTTTGGCAGGCTAAAATTAATTTAATAAGATTTTAATATATGTAATTCAAAGGATTATCCTTATTAGGGTATCCAGAATTCTGCAATTTTTATCCACACATAATTGTACAGACTTTTGCAACTATTCTGGCCGATTATTAAGTAGTTCTATACAGAGAATTTTGACTAAGACAATCGCTAAGTATTGTTTCGGGCCAACAAAAGCTCATTATGTATAAATTATCAATATAAGTATGACCAATGAATAATTGCAAATTCTGTAAATTTAGTATATTCATTACAAATTTTGCAGAATTCTAGACACTCTAACAGTGTTGAAAATTTGTTGTGCATGTATTGTTATTTGTACAAAATTAACAATAGGCTGTGCAAATTGCACAAAAAATAGAATAACATTCATGTATAAAAAAATATTTTTGCACAGCATATTTGTGTCGAATTTTCAACACTGCACCCCAATACTTATATACGATAAATATACCGTTAATCGGTTACGCCGATTTGTATGCAGAAACCCCATACAGCTCCAAAGGTGCTCTACGGCAGCTGCATTTACACATATCCCAAAAATCCGAGTTGCAACTAAACCTAATTCTTCTGTTGATGAACTTGCAAAGCACCAATATTGACAAATATCACCTGAAAATTGATTCCATGTATCTATATCAAAAGGATACTTTTTTAAACAAAAATTATCAAATTCTCTTAAAATTCGTTTTGGATCTTTTCCAAACCATGCACGGTAATAATAAACTAGCCAAGGACCAAAATTAGTATAGTTAATATTGATGTTAAATTGCTCTAAACGATAATTGGGATGTAAAAGACAGGATAGAATTAATAAAGGTTGTTCCTAATCATGCCATCGACGTTCTAAACGTAAAGTAAGTTGAGCACTAAGTTGCAAGTCATCATCATAATTATTCCAATATTAAACAAGATAGCCTAAACTTAAGACAACCTGGTGTAGACGAGCTTTATCGGATTGCAACCTATTTAAAATAATACAATACGGTTGAAGAATATTAAACAAATGACTAATATTGGTCCAAAAATTTACAGAGCTAATAGTTTCATAGTTTTCGCATTTCAATTTTGGTTCCATTCTTGTATGCGAAGTTTCTTTAATAGATGGTTCATACTTAATCGCAAGAATCTGGTAAAATAATAAAAATTTAATATTTTATTAGAAGTAGACTTTGAATCAATTTAAATTTATATGATTAGAACAATTATTTTAGAAAATAATTATTATATCATATGCAAGTTTTATTTTAATTATTTCATAATTAATTTTAATACAAGGTAACTTTCAATTATATTTTATTTAATGAAGTATCATTATTAATAATACTTCATTAAATAAACTATAATATAATTAAAGGCTACTAGTAATATGGGCTGGCCCCAGATCAGTAACTGGATCGATAGGCTGGTCGACCTTTAGCCTTCATCTTTGCAGGCTGGGCTGGTCAATAGAAGAAGTGATAGAATTTATTTCTTTTCTAAAATATATTCCAAGTTAAAAATTGACCAAAAATCTAATAACCATTATAGCAATATAAAAAAGATAATCATTAGTTTATCAAGATGATAAGTTGACAAATAACTAATATAAAATATAAATAATAAAAATGTTTAGATGTATAGACAATCAACATAAATGCTAACCTGTTAAAGATAAAGAATAAAAAATTAAATAGTTTAATATTGCTCGAATTCAGCAAGGAGCTATCTGATAGCTTTTTACACATTTGATATAGATATAAAGACTGATTCTAATTAAAAAAATTAAGGGTAGCCCAGTCAACTGGCCTGAGCTTTTTTAGGATAGACCCTGGCTATAATTTTTCTTCCAGCCCATATCACTAATCATTATATGTAGTTAAGGTCGTTTGAAGTTAATTCTTCAGTTAACATCACCTTTAGAACTCTTGGGAGGGGTAAAATGAAACGAATATATAAAAATGGGCCAATTTTATTGGTCAATATAAATCAAGTAATTGGTGAGAGTTATCCAGCATTTTGATTGGTTGTTCATTTATTAGAGGAGACTTCAGTAGAGAGAGGGATGATATTAACTGAAGAATTAACTTTGAATGGCTAAGCTCTTAAAATATATCAGTTTACCTGCAAAGCCTTTTGTGATTTTAGAATGCTTAAGCACACAGTATAAAAACTGTTCCACCTGGTTTCACCAGGAGCACTGATTGTAAAACATTTCTTATATTCAGCATATTGTTCTTCTTTCAATTTTGCTATAAAAAATTTATGAATTGGGTTTCTAAAATATGTAGCAAAACGAATTGCCTGGTCGATTGTTTTCTTAAAATCAGTTGATTCCTTGAAGATTTCACCAATACACAAATTGATCTGATGTGCATAACAGGGCAAAAACACAATTGATCTTTCTGCAACTCTCAAACGGCATCTATAAAAAATAAACTATTAATCTTTCTTATTTACTTAAAATAAAAAATAAATACTATATACCGAGCAGCAGCGTACGCGCCCGCACTATCTGTTATAATAGAAATAACTTTGACCGATTGTGCATTTAATTCAGTGAGCATTACATTAATTTTTTTAATTACTTCAATATGAGTCTCACATTCGAAACTTATATTTAGTGCTTTCCACACGTATGGTCTACATTCCGAAGTAATTATTACTACTCCTAACAAATTCTCATTTCAAACATTAGTCCAGCTATCAAAGGTTAACGTAATACCAACTTGATCTTCTTTCAACATAGTTAGCATCACTTTTTCAGATTCACCAACTGCATCATTTAAAATTCGACCTTCAGGTACTCGCCGATCAGGAAGTTTAAGAAGTGGATTGAGAAATTCAAATAACTCAGTTGCTTCAGGCTTATGTACCCAATTTAACGCCCATCTACAAGAAACTGTAAGGCGTAAAATGAGTTGATGGAATCTTTTTATTTCTTGTGGAGACAAGGTTCTAACTACATGGCTATCTGTTTGTTCAAAAGATAATCGGGTGGTTTTTGAAGTCAAAGAATATGAACTTGAAGACATAATATCACTGGTTTCTATAAAATATAATTTGTAAGAAGAATAAATATATGTGCATGCTCTTGGGACACTTTAACAACATGCACTTAGAGAACAATAAGAAAAGTGCATTTATAGAGGTCATATATATTCTCTAAGTGCACGCCCTTGAGACTACACTTTAATAATGTGCATTTAAAGAATAATAAGAAGAAATGCATATAGAAGTCAAGTATATATTTGGGCCAGCACTTGAACATATGAAGGTTTCACTCTATGTAACTTATATATACCTTTTTTTGGAACATCAACTAGTTTAAAGATTTCTTCTCTTTCTTCGGCTGTTGATTCCGCGACAAAATTTGTACATTTTTTGAAATGTGAAATTATTCGGTCTGTTTTATTAGAAAAATGTTGTTTTGAACCTTCTATTTCGCCTAATCGATCTATACACGGTTTACAATATACTTTTGTATTATGGTTATTTATTTTTTCATTGATTTTGATGATAAATTTATTTAGAATACGCAGTAAAGGTGGCATGACTACTTGGATTAAATTTTAGCAAAATAAAGCGTGTATTGAGTTAAGAAAAAAATTCTATATTAGATTATTTAAATACCAAAAAAAAAAAAGATATCAACTATTGAAACAAAAAAGGGTGATCATCAACAAGAAATCAGTATTGAGTTAAGAAAAATTGCGCATTGGATGACTTTACTAAAAGTGCCAACCATTGAAATGAAAAAAAAGTGGCTGTTAAAAATCATATCAGGCTATCAGCATACGCCTAAATCCAAAGAAAAAAGAATCAACAATAACTTCGACTGCTTATAATTGTTTGATTTTCTTTTGAAGTTAGGTGTACATTTACAATTCAGCAAAACTTTATTAATGCATAGAGAAAAAAAAAGAATGGTGAGAAAATTTTTAAGAAAATAACAAAAAAAAAAAGCTGTTAAACGAATTACAATGAAACCTCTCCAAATACGCCCTCCTAAATGCGCAACTTCTTTATATGCACTCTCAAATTCTTGTCCAGATATATACGTGACCTTTGTAAGTGCACTTCTTATTGTTCCTTAAAAATGCATATTGATAAAAGCGCCTCTATAGAGCGCATTTAGAAAGGTCTAACTTTATATTTTAGAGGCATACAGGTAAACATTTAAGATAGCGTCTTTATTAGAAATGACTTTGACATTCCTAATATCATTGCATCAAGAGCTCTATCTTTAGAATGAAATAACTGCACTATTTCTTTTTGAGGCTTTATTGTTAGTGATAAAATAAAGATAATGATACATGCATATGTACGTATATACATACGTACGTACGTACATATGTACGTATCTGTTACGTAATATTGGTAGCTTTAAAGACTTATACAAATATAGAAACAAGCGGAATAAGATTTTATCTATTACAGGTTTTTATCTTGTGCGAGACTTGTATTTTATACTAACCACATTGCAGTATTGTTTAATTTTAGCCAGTCGGAATTATTGCTGATCAGCCAATAACGTGCTTGGACATTTTGGACATTTGTCCATGTCCAACAATTTTATTGACGTATATCATTGGCCACTGATAATCATGTGGGCATGGATATTGACATGAGTATGTGTATAATCAGATCTCTCTAAGTGCACGCCTTTGGGACCACACTTTAATAATGTGCATTTAGAGAATAACAAGAAAAAATGCATTTACAGAAGTCGAGTATATATTTAGGCCAGCACTTGAGTATGCATTAGAGAGGGTATGCACTTAGAGAGGTCTGACTGCAGAATAATAAAAAACTTCAAATGTTTTTAAATTCAAGTTTCAAAATCTATATTAAAACTACTTTATGCTGTAATATATCGCTTGATTCACATCAAACTTAATACTCATACTACCTTTTACAGTTGTAAGATTAATGCATTAACAATTTTGCATCTCAGATCTAGAATTATAAATGAAAATGTTTAGA